AAAGAAAAAATATTTACTCTCAAAACGTTTTCTTCAGTTTCAAATAACATCTGTTTTTTGCTATCAGTGTAAAAATGTGGTCTCTCTAATACATTTATTTGACTTTCTAAATTATTTTTTTCTTTCAAATTCCCTTTCTTCTTTAATTTAATAAAAACACAAAAAATATCTCCATATGGGACAGGTGTACCTGATGTGGGTGTGAGTGTATTATCATATGATGATTTAGCTGGTAACAATTTCACATTAATCTCCTGTTTTCTATGCTCATAAAAGGCTCTGCTGCAAACAGTTGTCACATGAAAGTGATGATATTTAAGCTGCGTCTCTCTCTCTCACCTCTTCAGAAGGTCAGGGGGCATAGTATATCATATGCTTCAGGCCCCATCAATTTTTAATGAAAGCTGCAGTAGTTAGAGAATAATAGATATTCAAAGTAGCAGAATTTTTTTTTTATTAAAGTTAATTTTATAAGTGATCTTAAAAAGTCCCATAACTAATGCAAGTGTTATGAAAATGAGGTGATATATTCATTCAATCCTTAAATTGTCACAGAAAATGTTCTGAAGAGGTAAATTCTGAAGATTTGTGGAAAAAAAAGATGTTTAGGGGAAACAAATTTGGTCTGAGTAATCATGATCTAAATATGTTTTCTCCAACATTTGCCCCTCTGTAGCTTCTCTTTTGTTGTAACTTTAAACACAAATTTGTGCATTAGCAAATACAAATGATTCTTAGACTCACTCCTTTAAAATATTGAATTTTTGTTTTATCAGATTTAACAATGTAACACACATTTTTATGTTTCTCTCAGAGAACTATTAGATTTCAGTGTTTCATAACTGTTTCTTTTCCCTTGCAGCTCCTTGTGATGACGATGCCTTCTTTTGTCACAGTAACATGTGCATAAACTACACTCTAGTGTGTAACGGCATGCAAAACTGTGTCTACCCCTGGGATGAGAACCAATGCAAAGGTGAGATACAGATATTTAAGCAAACCGGAAGCTATTATGAGACTGGATAATTGGATTTTCTGAGTTTCTGTCAAACCACACTCAAAACAGTTATATAAACGGCTATAAAGTTTCAGAACCATGGACAGCAGCTGAAAGAGCTACAGTATGGTTCCTATGCAGCTATTACGGCCCAACATACAGTGATCTTGCATAAGTATTTATCGTCCTTAAACAAATTTACACATTTTAGCATGACAAGCACTAATTTGCTTTGCATTATACCTTAATGAACAACATAAAACATCTCTGACAAAAAAAAAGAGATTTTTTTGGATCTGAAACTTGAACGGAGTTCACCAGTGTTTCATTTAAGCTTGTTAGGAATGCAGCTGTTTTGTGAAGTCCTAAAATATTTCTTAAATACCCTTTGTAAACAAACAGCATCACAATGAGCAGGGTACACACGTTTAATTATCTGAAAGGGAAAAGACTAAAGGTAGACTGACAAACCTAATATAACACAGTGAGGAAAGGATAGCATCAATCTGATGAAGCAGCCATAAGGCATATGGTAACTCTTTGAAGAGCTGTAGTGATACAGCTAAAATAGGATAATTGCTAAGTGGTCCAAGAGCTTAATCTTCAAAAATGTGTTGTGTGTATAAAAACATGTGTAAACTTGATAAGAATGCAAAAACCGGATCAACTAACCCACCGCATATTTGAACATATTTATTGTCTTTCTAAAATAAGTGGCACAACTGGCCAAAACCCTTTAGCATTTCTGTGTTTTGTCCAGACCATAAACTGATGACCTCCAAGCACAAATTAACAAGATAATATTTAAATGGGATCCTAACCATCTTTAAAGCAATTTATCAAACCTGAAACAAATTATGAGTTCAGTTTTTGTCTGAGTGAGGTAAAAACATAATTAACCTTAAATTATTTTACTTTATCTTTTATTCTTTCACTGTTTGGTTGTTTAATTCACAATGCAATGTGAAATATGAATAATATTCATTATTACTCCGAGACTTAAGCACAACCAAAAGCACACCCATTTTTTTGTTTATGGTTTTTCCCCACTATTCTCCACTGCAGCTGCAATCTTTACAGAAAACCTGCAAAAGTCCCACTATTACATGTGCAATTGTTGTTTATTCCTTCATTTACTTTGTATGATTAAGTAATTTAGAAGGAGGAACAGTTGCAATAATATATTCCTTCTTTAGACTCTTTGAAGATTCACAAGAATGACTAGAAAAATGTAGGTTTTAGTCATCAAAAATATTTTAACATTGACAACCATGTGTATTTTTACAATGAATGGTATTGGTGTGTACAACAAGATCAAAGTTAAATACATGGTCAAGTTGGTTGTTTTATTATGAGATAATGTGAAATAAATCATTAGGTATAAGGTAAGTCTTTTGTTAAGCAGTTTACGTATATGTATTTATGTGACATATTTCAAAGTTTTGTCCTCTGCTTATCTTTGCCAATATATCTATTCTACAAGGCCTTGATGAATGGAGCAAAGTAAAGTAACAGTTCCTACTTGTCAGCATTAACTTCCGGTTTGAAAACTTGGATCAGACTAAAAAAACTGTATTCAGTAATTTTTTGATTTGCCTTAGCACCCATTGGAGTCGTCAGGTTTTAACAAGAATTGTCTGTTTTATGTGACAAGGTCAAAATAATGGTTCACTTGATTAGGTGGATGGATGGCAATTACCTAGCTTTTAAGTTAACAGCATTGGAATGTAAAAGCATATATCTCCTGAAAAAACCTTGCAATGGTCAACAGAGTTGAAAAGAAGTTAATGGGCAATAGCCGCCTTATACAGAACCTTTGCGATTGCTGAGTAGTATTTAAAGCAGATGTAGGAAACCAAAACCTTTTATGAAGTCAGAATAAGACTATAATAAAATTGTGCTGCTCATGTAAAAAGTAGTCACCCAAGAAACAACTAATGTAAGAGCAAAAAGGTATTTGGTAAAAAAGCTTCTAAAGTCCCGAGTAATTATTGGATCATAAAATCTGATTTCATCTTTAAACGTCATCTGATCATTAAGTACAAATTCTGACATTTTAAAGACAAAGAACCAAAATATAAATGAACAACATCATTATAAAATAAGAAATTCTTGCATAACACTTTTAAAAAGTTCTAGTTTTTTCAACATGAATCTTATAAAAGCAATCCTTACCGTGTTTACTGTACCTTACAGTATGTATATATGTTAGAAAAGGGGAAATAAACCCCTATGACAATATCTACACATGCTGGATACAGTAAGTAGAAATGGTAGAAATACCAAAAAGAAATACCAAATTGTAGACACAAAATATAAATAAAATCCATGTTATATTCACATTAAATAATAATTTGTCACCACAAAGCCCTGTCTTGTGGCCACAACATGGGTATAACATGTACACATAATATTAAAATATAATCTTCCTGCACTTTGCACCTTTCTTAAACAGAGAAATAGAGGAACAAAACTATATGATGCACAGAATAGTCTGATCTAGGATGGGAGTGATGGCAAAGACATTCTGAGAATCATGGCATTGTAAGGAATTGATATTAGTGCATTTTTTTTCTAAAGAATACTGAGAGTGAATCATGGTGACTGGATATTCTGGTTTCTATGGGACTGTGCTGCTTTTCTCACCTTTTTCTGTGTTCCACACATTGAAGAAATTTTGCATTGTGTAATTAATGGGAACAAATCGGTCTTACATTTGTTTTATATAACCAGGCCCACAAATTGATATTTTGTGCGTGCATCAACAAATTAGTAATTTGTATGACTGAATTAGTCATTTGTGAAAAAGGCATAATCTCTTTCATTTCCCATGTCAGTTCTTGGGCTCTGTAAATCACAACTGAAGTTCCGTTGCAAAATTTATAATTTATTTATGGTTAAAACTGTCAAAACTGTTAAAGTTAGCCAGCCGTTTAGATAACAGTCTACCATTATACTAAGAAGAGCTAGAATTATGCTTGATGCTTCTGTATAGTTGCAAATCAACGTGTGGCTTGTTTTTTTAAACATTTGACTTCATATTATTGAGGGTATTTGATTGAGCCTGTTATGTGGAATCAAATATGTTTAATTTAGAGAAAAAACATAAAAAAAAAAAAAAAAAACATGAAGTGAATATGGGTAAGAAATGACCAGATATTTATTTTAAGTAATTCCATGATTCAATGATTCAATTTATGTTTGATCTGTTTTAACTGAGAAAATCAACTTCATATTTATTTATATGTTCTCCTCTGTTCTCATGTGTCTCTACTACTGTGCAGAGAAAACTAATACCAAATTCCTGGACAACCTGAACTCCTCAAATGGGGCCATAATTGGGGTGACCTGCTGCATCGTGTTCATCCTCCTCATCGTCTCAGTAATTGTTCAGATAAAGCAGCCGCGTAAGAAATACATTTTCCGACGAGAAGACTTTGACCCCACCATGTTTCAGGAGGTCTTTGAACCCCCCCACTATGAGCTATGTACTTTACGGAGTGCCGCCACACCCACAGCGGCCTCTGCAGATTTGGTTGACTTGGCGGAGGACTTTGAGAACTACCACGCCCTTCGCCAGGCCTCCTCCCGCTGCATTCATGACCACCACTGTGGCTCTCCCTCTTGCCCTGGCTCTGCACACATATCACAGCTGTCACTCAGCGGTCGAGGGAGCAGGAGTAACTTAAGTGCCCGCGACTCAGGGGCCACGGCAGCTCTGCTCACAGACCTTCCGCAGCCACCCATGTCTGTGCGGCCCCTGCTGCCAGCCACAGGGAACCGTAGGAGCATCTTGGTCATGAAGCACAGCTACTCTCAAGAGGCGGCAGACAATGGATGCGACCTGGATGACGACCTGGAAGACGTTCCAACCACCAGCCATCGACTGTCACGCCATGAAAAGGCAGTACAGCGGTCAGTATCTATTGATTTCTGATGAGGGTGGAACAACAGCACCATAGTTAACAATGACAATATTTGAAATGTGCAACAACTACTCACTTTTATTTATTTTCATTTTATTTAAGCTTTGTTCTTCGTTTATTGATTTTTTATAATTTTATCATTCACTTTTTTGTTTACCTAGTTTACTTGCCTGTTGTCTGCCATTACAAGTTCTAACAAAGGGCTTCACAGTATGTCTCATCTTGCATGCTCAACCTCAAATTTGCAAATCATCCCAGTTAGCTTTCTATCATTATTCACATATATTTAAATATCTAAATGAAACTGTTCTTTGAGGTTTTTTCATCATGTTGTCATGGATTTTATTTTAGGATCTGATCTCATAAAAATTAAAAGGGCTAAAATTGGTGCCTTGTTAAAATTCTATATATGGTTTTGACTTTAATGCAAATTACAAAATGTGATACATAAATTGTATTCTCTTGGCATAAGCTTGTATTTTGGTAACAAAATCAAATAAGTTGTAATTGTAACTTGCAAAGATACTGTATGACAGTATTGGAACATTTTTAGAAACTTTCTCTGAACTTTGCCTGAATATTCTATATACATTTTCCAAAATAATCCTGGTAGTGCTGTTATGGTTAACTGCAATTGTGCATGCAAGGTTCCTTAGGCCCATCAAATGGCAAATGAAGTTTATTAAATTTACAGTATGTAGCACATTATGCATTCTGAAATATTTATATGCAAAATGAGTTTGATATTATATTAAATGAAAGAGCCATAACATTTCAGGTTCTGCCTCATTGGCTCTTTGAGCAAACATGAATCAGAGTACAACACAACTAGGGTCTAGGAGACAATCCCAAGGTAAGCACGCTTATCTAACACTCAATACCTTTTGTTGTTGCGTAGTTGTCATATGCTCCGTCAGTATATACTTTTGTCTAACTTTTTATTCTTCCTTTTCTGTGACTTTTGCATGGGTCTTTTATTTATTGTGTTCAATTTCAGTTTGTTGTTTGGGTTTATCAAGATGGTGTTCTTGTTTATAACCATCTTGTTTTCTAAGTAAGTTTGTCATTGTTTGTCAAGAACCACTTTTATCTGTATTAGCATGTATTTTTAGACTTTTTTGTTGAAACTGATACAGTTATGTTCCTTATTGCTCCTAGTAGAATTACAGATTCCATGCCAACTTAGATGACTTTCCCAGTTTACATAAATACTGTAATTTAATTGTAATTAGAATACTTTAATTGGAAGGATTTAAGAAATATTTAAAATCTAAAACCGTGTTGCAGTATTATTTTGCATATATTTTTCTTTTGTCTTTCCAACACAAAAAATATAATGCATTGCCTTTGGCATCATAGTTATATCAAGCAGGTCTTTTCTTATAAACATGTTAAACCATTTTTAAGGGAATATTGAGGTATTGCGTTTATGTGTAATGTAAAACAAGCAAAGACTTTAACATCAAGCGATAACCATTGTAGACAATTAAAATTGAATATTGAGCAGTGATTACAAACAGCTGTTCCTTTTGTCCAACTTTTTCTTTTAACTTGCACTCAATAAATATTTAAGTGTATTGATGTTTACAGGCAAATCAACACAAAAGTAATCTTATTATACTTTGAAGGAAAAATAAATTCAGTTTTTATCAAATATATAGTATCCATTTCAATCTGGAGAATAGTGTCATACTGTTAGATTCGGCCTTAGGATACTACTAAATATCTATTAAATTTGTATTGCTATCTGGAACTATAGCTCTTATTGATTTTTTTTAGATGGTTATGAAATAGCACAAAGCTAATTACACTAAAAAGAGAAAAGTTAATTACTTTTGTTTTTCATTTAACAAATTTTTAGTGTACTGTAACTGAACGCAAACAAATAAACATTCCTTTCTGCCAGTGTTAAAAAACTTATTTTGCCTTGAATCTTGTTTGTTGATTTTTATCCAGAGAGTTGAAAGAAGTTTGAAGAAACAAGAAAACATTGGCAAGGCAGGCAGGCTCATTAGTGGGTTTAGCCCATGGGATAACAATACAGGACCATGATAACCTGTCATATCCTCATCAAACTGTTTACAAGCTTAGTCACAAACTGCTGTGGGATGCAAAATATCCACCATGTTTGTGGCAATCATTGTGCTGCAAATAGCATACCAAAGCTGATCCCACAGGATCTCAATGGGCCTAAAGCCTTTCTACCCTCCCCATTCCCAAATTCTATCTGATAAACCCTGCTCTGTGAGAGTTACCACTGACATCCTGGGGCATGTCCCTTTAGTATTTTCTATACTTGGATTGCATCCAATAATAGTTACCCCTCTTTTCCATACTATCCCCACCAAAGTTGCTTGGCATTAGTAAAGAGGATTTAACAAGTCTTGCTCAGCCAACACATACCTTTCCTTTAAATTTTGCATGTTTTTGGGAAATAAACTGCCTTTTTAATAGCATAGGATTTCTTACCAATGAACATTGTTGCAACACCTAAAAGATTAGTTGAACACAATATTTTAGACAATTATGAAATTTCTAAATATTTTAAAAAGGGGATTTACATGATATCTTTCTGAAAAGCTTTCACAAACATTGAAATGTTTAGTAATTTCAGGTTTCTATAGGAAACAATGAGCTCTTACAGAGATGTTTCCTTCAGAGCAATCCATGGTTTGAGCTGGGAAAATTTAAGTCGGTAAGGAATGACTCATGGAATAAAGAAAAACCTCCTAAATAAATATTGAGAAAAAGAAACCAACTTTGTTAAGATAAACACCAAAATTAAAGCAAACATGGTCCTACACTTCAACTGAGTTGCTCTGCAGTTAATTAAAAAGCACACTGAGATTCTCTAAATATGACGTCTTTAAAGGGGAATTATCTTGTAGGACTGCATGACGTATCAGTTCTTGATGTTATGCCTGTATGTAACACTTTATGTGCAAATGCTCCATGAGAATGTTCAGATGAAGTTGCAAAAACCCCAGTCTGACTGAAGTTTAAGTTCTCAATAGCAATATAGACAATTGTTGTCAGTTCATTTTAATGAAATTGATAAATAACAGTTTAATTTAGTAAAAACTGTTTGATTTAGTAAAAACATGACTAAACTATTAGGGGTTGCAACTTCATGCGTGCATATAATGAAGTTGTCCGATTACTTCTCATTGTTTTTTTTCTTAGTATTGTCTTGGTATATTTGTCTGCTTATGTTGTGCTTTATGTTGCATTGTCTCCATCATTTAGACTTCTTGAAAATAGTGCTATCCTGGAACAGTACGAACGGGCATCACTGACACATGACAGAGTGGAGCGGGAATTCACACCAGCATGATGCTGGTGATGATGATGATGATGAGGGTACACTTTGGTGAAGTGGATACATACTGGAGTTGTATTCATGTGCAAAGATTACAAGGGACTAGAATTAAATACTCTAGCCACAATGCTGTGAAGAGAAAACAGTTACCTCTACTGCTGATGCAGTTTGCTGAATGCTTTTTAATATCTGTGGCTTTTATATAAGAAACAAATATGAAGGAGTGCAGTGTGGGCTGTGCAATATCTGTTATTTTTGATAGATTCCTTCTTACCATAAAGCCAGTTTGACCATTTTCAAGTTTCTTTTTTTCAGCATGCCTTTTATTAGTTAATAACATACATGTTAAAATTTTTCACACCTCCTTAGTCCAACATCTTTGAAACTTGACTCTACTTAATACTAACCTAACTGAAATTATTAATAGGGGGGTATGGCAGAATTCTTCCAAGTTTAATTAAAAAACCTAATGAGATGTTTGGCTTGTGCATGCACCATTATTTTCCATTAATGCATTAACATGCTAGCAAAAAAATTGAGGAAAAAATGAGTTAGCATTAGGTCATATAATCTTTATATGCAATTTAAAAAGTATTTACAGATGTATTAAAGGTATGCATGTTATGTGGTTAAACAGCATTCTTCTTTTTTTAAAGTGTTTAGCATTTTTTAAATGTAATTAGAGTTTGAGTTTGTTGACTTTGAACATACCGGCTTAGCCTTTGACTGGCATTTTTTCTTTCGCTTTTTAGACAAACATTTAATTTTGATTGAATTCTCTTTAACCGTAGCTTAATATCTTTATATAAAATACACTTTTCTAATAGGAAAAATAAATAAAAAGGACAGTTTATATATTGCTCTATTTAGCTTTCAGGGCTGATGTAATTGAAGTTTTATAAAACAAAAACATCATTTAAGCTTTTCAACTTTTTTTAAGCTTTTTCAGATTTTAGTCAGTACCTTCAAATTGTCCACTAAGTGTCCTCAGATTATTAGGCAAACCATTAACATCTCTAAATCCTTGAGTTTTGAAATTGTATTAGTTTTTTATCTATATTCTAAATTGATTTATTGTTATTTTGTGTTCCTGAGTATTTTTATTTTGAATGGAAGCATAATTAACATTTTGAAGTGGCCCAGCATGAGTGTGACTTAGAATCTGACCATTTATATCAAAGGTCAAATATTAGCACAATAACAAATAATGTTGCAATATGGATCCCATCATCAAAGTTAAAGCATCAGTCCGACAGCAGACACTTCATACTGCTTAATTTAATGTGTATATTGAAGTATCTAAGATAAAATATATTTAGCTTTTTTTTCGGGGGGAGATGGGATTGGGTGTTATGTGAAGAAAGAAGACTGTACCTACTTCATGTATGTACAGCAGGGTGTTTCCAGTGGTTAACACATGGCATGTTGTTATTTTTAGGAGATACCAAATTTGCACTTTATAAAAGTTTCCCAAATTTAACTGTTTTATGAACGAGAGGGAAAGTTGCATGTGGGCTTTTATTATGGTAGAAAGTACACATGAGCATGTTGCGCACAGAAACCACTGTTATGGTAGCTGGTTGCTCTGGTGTAAATGTAAAGATGGGGAACAGAGCGCAGCACTTTTAAAACAGAAGAACAGGAAGTTTGTTGTCACAAAGGGTCGCAACTGATGGGAAGCTGCCCTGTCTTGTGGTAAGTGTGTGATTCATTTAATTTTGATTGGACTGGTCCTTGTGATAAATGTTTGGTTTTTGCCCAGGTAAAAAAAGAAATAATATGGCTTGGATGTGATTTGTCTTACTAAAGATGAGGTCTCGATTTTGTAACATTGACCAAGCTAATCAACAAAAATCAAGAAAAGACCACTGGTTGCACCTGACAGAGCAAAAGAGACTCGGGATAAAATGTAAAAGAATGACTGAAAACTCCTTGCAAGGCTTTAATCTGAAACAATGTCAGTCTACAACAGAGAGCAGGCAGAAGTTAGAAGAGGGCTAGAAAGAAAAGAACGACAGTAACCAGCCAGACACACCTGGGTTAATCAGCTTGCTGGTAGTAAAAGACAGGAAACTAAGTAGTGGATAAAGCCCTTTAGTGGGAGAAATTAATCTGCTTCTCTGACGTGCACAGGGCTGTGATCAAAGGTGTAATGAAGTACAAATACTTCGTTACTGTACTTAAGTACTCTTTTTAGGTATCTATACTTTACTCCATTACTTATTTTTCTTCCTACTTCTAACTTCTACTCATTACATTTTTACACAAGTATCTGTACTTTCTATTCCGTACATTTTTAAAACTCGTCACTCGTTACTCTTGGCTTCAGTTTATTGTTTATAAATAATTATTTCACGTCATGTGCGCCATCTAATGCAGATCATTGGCGCCATCCACATCTAGTGAAAACTAGTGTAATTGGATGACACCAGTTGTATTAGCTATTTGGTAGTCTAAAGTGAGGAAAACTTTGTTGATGCAGACCGAACATTTGAATAGTGTAGCATAAGGGTAATCCAAATAAGTAATGTGTCTTTCTTTTGTAGATCAAATTTAATTACACTATGACAACATAAAAACATAAATGTGATACCTTATCATTATTTAATTTGAATTGGGTATAATCTTAGGCCATTTAATTACAAGAAAGGTTGGAAAATAATTTGCATAAGTACAAAGAAATGTTTTTTGTGTAAGATTAGAACATTTCTAGTTACCGTATTTTTATAAACATTCCTGTTGTGTAAACTTATTGAAAATATATGGTTATCACATGAATGAGAAAAGCCAGGTTCTCCAAATAGGCAGAATAGTTTTGTACTAAAACTTTACAAAGAGATAAAAAATGGTTTGTGTTTATAATCTTGAGGAACATCCTAATGATTCATTAATTACTCATATATTAAGCTCTGGTCATCGTTTAAATTAAATTTTCACAAAATGCAAAGCTTGAGCTTTAACATTCAAAACAGGGTTTTCCTTTTTTTTGTATTTTAAGTGTATGGTGGGTTTTGTCAAAGTGCAGTGTGGGATTAACTATCAAAGTGATGGTGCTTTATAACATCCTATTGAACAACAAAGGTTATAGATGATTACATCAAGTGCTAATGAAATATATTATGGAATGACATGAATTTCAAGAGAACTTTGAACCCCCGAAATTATATGTCTTATTATCTTCCACCAAATATAAGCCTGTTATGTAATAATTTAGACTAAAATATTTACAACACATGAATCTTCCCATATTTTATGTTTTTTGTATCTGTCTGTGCTTAATTCCTTGTCTTTTGACATGACCTAATCTCTCTTAAACAGGGTACTACTAGTACCTAGTAAAAGTAGTACCACTACTACTAATACTACTAGTTCATAGTATGAACTGCTCCAGACATTAACCTAAATACTCCTGGAGCATAAATTCAAAGTGAAGAGATTGAGGTTTGATAGAAATCACAATTATAATATAGTTTTGATATTAGTATGCAGCACATTTTTTAACCTAGCATAATTTTCTTAATAACTACACTATGGTTTTTAAAATGTCTATGAACATAAGCTAACTTAGTATAGATATTTGTTCCTCCATAGATACTGTTTCCCCACACCAACTTCATCTTAATTCACAAACATATTTCTCAGACAAGGCAATTATGATAGGGATTTCTTAAAAAAAAATGTCAAGCTCTTATAACTTTACAGTATTGAGATAGAGAAGCTGCACAGCTGCAATCATCTGAATCAGCTGTGCTAAAGCAGGGAAACCTCTAAAACCTGCAGCGGCCCACGAGGACCAACTGTGGGCATGCCTGCTTTAATATTTTATATTCAATATTAATAGTTTTATACTTTCTTTGTATTTTGGGGGGGTTATTTATTCTTGCAATGCTTTCTATTTCTGCCTGCCCCTTTAACCTTTCTATGTTCAGCCTCATCCTGCAAATCATCTACCTATTGGTTGGTAATGATGAAATGGAATATACATGCTATATTAGTAGAAATTAATGAATAAAGTTTTAATGAATAAAATGATGATGGGATTATTCTAAAGGTGTTTAAATAAATATGATTTTTTAAAGAAATATGGCATTTTTATCATATTCTATAATAATTCACTACCTACATTTAATTAGTTACAGTATTTTTTACTGCCGTTTAAGTCGCCAGGTTTAAATCCCAGTTGCGGAATGATGGGTATTAGGTGTAAAAACTTTGCAAAGTGACTCCCTAAAAATGGGAAAGCTGAAGGAACAAAAACACATTTTATGAGCATTAAACCGTATGCCTGTTTATTTATTAATATTTATGATATCTTTTAATATGTCACAGATGATCTCCATACATTTGGTCTAACACCAAATGGCACCCTACTAATGAATTTACACTATTAGCAATATTACCTACCTTCCTTGAATGGCCTTGCTTGTAACAGGGGTTTATACTGTGCACTTGACACCAAACTTTGACTCAGACATATTTCTGGTGATAGAAAACAGAACACTTGTTAAAGCTGCATCTGTTTACTGTGAGTGTTTATGATGCCCACCCTGCTGTGCCGCCATGTGCAGTGAGCCATATCAAAAATGCTTCTCTATCTGTAGCATTGTAAGGCATATTGCATAAAAAGCAGCATTTTTAGAAGGCTGGTATTTATCCCCCTTATTTATTTGTTTAATGTTAATATTACAAAGTTCATAAGAAATTTATTTACTTACTTTTTTCCTAGGCCTGACTGTGAGTGATTATGCAATGCTGTTATTATGAACATCAAGGTATTGGTGTGAAATTACTGAATTAAAGCCAATACTGATTATGTTTTTTGATGAGCTGGCTACAAAATTGGCATGAGTACAAAAAGTTAATAGATGAACGCTATGAATTCTAACAACTAATCCCTTTCATCCTGCATGCTTGTTTTGTTCTCATAGTGTTTTGTCTAAATATGTGCTTTTTTTGGTCACTTAGCATGCATTTACCATCTACACTATGTACATTTTTGTTATTAGTATGATGTATTTTATGCATTATTTACATTTGTGCTTTTCCTACTTATAAGCAAATTCATGCATACTTGTGAGAAGTACCAATAAATTATTTTGTTTGTGTTCATACATGGCAGACCTCCTATTTGTGTGTTTTTCTTTAGTTCACAATCCAGAAAATGCAATAGCTATCTAGCACAGCTTCTAACCTGCACTTACTGATATCTCCTCAATACATACACATGTAAACAGACACATACATACTCAAAAACTGCTCTGCCACCTCAGAGATAAGAGGAAGTCTGAATCAGTTCACTCCCAGGCCGCAGGTGGGAGTGGAACACAGCCTGGAGCAGATTTTAAGTAATGGTGTCTTTATTTCTCTGCAGATACATCAGACAGATGCATCATTCCGCTGCATCTTGCCAGGTTTGACATCATTTGAAGCTAAGGGTTTTCTCCTGTGTGCAACCTGAGTGATGAACTCTGAGTAACTTTACTGCTGTAGAGTGCTGTAATCAGAATATATTTTTTAAGTTTCTGAAAGTTTTTCCTTCCTTCCTTCTGCCTTGGACAATAAAGGTGCCCCTCATCCCCACTCCCACCCTGTGCTGATCAGATAACTGATCTTTCTTTTTAAGTGAAGTACCTTTAATGTAAAATAGCTCTTAAGTAAAAAAAAAAAAAAAAGGACAGAATCAGGTTTCTTATTACGTTTTCACACATTCTTCAAAACATACTTACCATTGCACATATTTTACACTTTGATGTTACAGTTTTGCTTTAGAGATGAATTTATAGATTGATTTAGAGATTGTTTTTATATTGAAATTAACAGAGCAGGAGATGTGAAATCACACTATGGTAAACTTACAAATGAATTTGCTGATTATTAACATTTACCTGATAACACTTCATTGGCACTCTGTATTTTTTATTATCATGATTAATTCATCGGGTTACTTTAGTTTGAAACCTGCTTTTGTTTATTCTTTTTCTTTAACTAATTTAGTATGTATTTGATAATATAAGAAAATGCTGGACTGAATTGTTTTCAATAAACTAATGCTTTCTGATTTCATTGTGGTGGACCTTTTATTTGACATTTTCGGTACTGATTTTACATACTATTTGGCAGCCCTTAGTAGCTTTAAAAGCAAAGGTCGAAGGCAAGCATCGAGAGGTAAGTGTGTTAATCTATGTAGAGTTTTAGAAAACCAAATCAGAAAGTGATAAAAGTCCAAATATTCTGTTTCATTGAGCTTAGTATTTACTCTGTCAAACCTCTCACTTCCTCAGCTGTTTGTAGATTTATTTTTAGTTAAAAAAAAAAGAAATAACTGCTTTTAAGCCCAAACTGAATATTCTTAAAACATTTTAGTCTATGCGAGTCTACATGGAGACATGGTTTTTTGCTGTTGAGCTTGGTGAACATAAAAAAAGACACAGTGGATCAACTGCTTATCACCTCATCCATTGTATTGTCCTCTGTCAGATCATTCTTTGCTCTTTCCCACCTCTAGCTCCATATAAAAAACATTTGATCTGATCTCGCTTCTACAGTGGGTATGGAAAGTATTTAGACCCCTTTAAATTTTTCACTCTTCATTTCATTGCACCCATTTGCTAAAATCATAAAAAGTTAATTTTGTTTCTCATTAATGTACACTCAGCACCCCATCTTGACAGAAAAAAATTGAAATGTAGAAATTTTTGAACATTTATTAAAAACATAAACTGAAATATCAAATGGTCATAAGTATTCAGGCTATTTGCTGTGACATTCATATTTAATTCACATGCTGTCCATTTCTGGGTAATGACCAAAAGGACAAGATCGCAAATACAAGCAGCAAGCAGCAGCAATACAATGAGTTTCCTTCACAGAGTGGCTGGGTGCACCCTTCAAGATCGGCTCCTCCAAATCAAAAGGAGCCAGCTGAGGCATCTGTTTTGGATGCATCCTGGTCGCCTCCCTCAGGAGGTGTTCCAGGCATGTCCCATTGAGAGGAGGCCTCATGGAAGGCCCAGGACACGCTGGGCTGTCTCTGAGCTGGTCTGGTGTTGCCTCGGGGTCCCCCCAGAGCAGCTGGAGGAATTGTGGGTGGATTGGGAAGTCTGGGCATCTCTGCTTAGACTGCTGCCTCTGCGACCTGGCCCCAGATAAAGCAGAAGATGGATGGATGGATGGATGGATGGATGGATGGATGGATGGATGGATGGATGGATGTCCATTTCTTCTGATCCTTCTTGAGATTGTTCTGCTCCTTCATTGAAGTGGAGCTGTGTTAAATATAACTAATTGGACTTGATTAGGAGAGGCACACACCTGTCTATATAAGACATTATAGCTCACAGTGCATGTCAGAGCAAACAGGATCGAAGGAACTGCCCAAATAGTTCAGAGTAAGAATTGTGACGGCACAGATCTGGCCAAGGTTACAAAAGCATTTCGGCAGCACTCAAGGTTTCTAAGAGCACAGTGGTCTCCACAATCCCTAATTTGAAGAAATTTGGGATAACCAGAACTCTCCCTAGACTTGGCCGTCCAGCCAAACTGAGCAATTGTGGGAGAAGAGCCTTGGTGAGAGAGGTAAAGAGGAACCCAAAGGTAATATAATCAGTCAGACAGTAGGCCAGATATATTAATTAAAATACAAAAAACACTTTACAGAATAAATATCATGGGGCTAGTAATAAATTTTGTTTGGGTTCCAGCACATAACGAGATTAAGGGAAATAAAATGGCAGACAGGGTGGCTAAGGAGAGTACAAATAAGGTAAGGATAGATATTAATGTTAGTTTTAGTATAACAGAAATAAAGTGTATAATTAAACAAAAAACAAAAGACAGGTGGCAAAACTTATGGGAAGAAGAAAAGAAAGGAAGGTGGTTCTATAAGATCCAAAAGAGAATTAGACAAATGAGAAGAACAGAAAGGAACAGAAGAGAAGAGAGAATTATTTCACGACTTAGGATTGGACACACAGCATTGAATAGGTCATTATTTTTAATAGGGAAACATCAGACAGGGAAATGTGACTGTGGGGAAGATGAAACAGTGGAACATGTTATTTTGAGTTGTAGGAAATATTTGATTCAGAGAAACAAGTTAATTAGGAAACTTAGTAATTATACAATAACAATGTTGATTTACTGCAAAAGGAATCAGGAAGCAGAGGATTTTTTTTTTTATTGCAAAAAAAGAACATACATGAACAATATAGAACATTAATAATTACAAAAATATACAACAACAAAGGGTTTTAAAGAGCAGAACCATTAATTTACAATGTCAAAATCAAATCTAATCTATGCTCGAGGGTTATAATAATTCTTTATGGCAGTTAGAATTTGCATGGCTTTAGCATTTGAACTAAATTTTAAGGATTCCATATAGATATTAATAGAAGATAATAAAATCTGGAAATTAGGTTTTTGTTGTAAATATTTGGAGGTGTGAATATGATATTTACCATAAATAATCAAAAAATGTATAACATATAAACATTTTATTTTGACAAGTTCACATTTCTCCATCCCAAAAAAATGTCCTTAGCTGTTAAAATAATGTTAAGTTTTTTTTTGTTGGGAAAAAAAACAAAAATATTTCTCTCCAGAATATTTTGGTATAATTGCAATCCCAAAAAAGATAAATAAGCTTTTCTTCATTATTTTTACAAAAAGTACACATTGGGTCCAAATCCCATTTGGATCTTTTAATCAAAAATGCTTTAACAGGCTAAACATTATGAATACTTTTATAAGAAATTTCTCTTACTTTATTGTTTATTAAGTATTTTTTAAGGAGCAACCAAGTCCATTTCCAATTTATATTTTCAAAAGTGTTGGACCAATAAAATATACAAGCTGACATACTTTTGTTGGTTGTTTTCTTACTTATAAAAGGACAATCATAATCAATATAAGTGGGGTTTGGATCAAAATTTGGCACTGAGTAAATTTAGCAGAGGATATTAGGTTATATTGTATAATAGGATATAGTTTTTTGCTTCTTTGTTTGTTTGTTTTGCCATGTGGTCCACACTCCTTACCAGTTGGTGGCGGTAATGCTCTCTCCTAACTTTTTTTTTGCCATCCGCCATAAAGATGTCAACAAGCAGAAGAAGAAGGGCAGCACAAAAGTCATGCGCACACTGGTTGACACTAAGGTTGCAGTGGTTTAGTTTTGTTTCTTATGCACCTTTTTTATAATTCGGTGCTTGTTTAATTATTGCTTTTTACTAGTTTCACCACCAAAATAATGATGACTTATACTCACGTTTTGAAAGTCGTGTACAGAAACCTGAGACAAACTCAGCTCTGCTTCTCTCTGCACGCGCTGAGGACAGCGTCCACAGCACCATCATGGCTCGGTTTCAGGAAAAATGTTCCTTCTTTGAGCTGCTTCACTTCAGCTCAGAGACACCAGGTTCTGTCTTTCCACTGTTCAGCCAGGAACAGAGGCGAGGAAAGAGGAAAGTCGGTGTCCCGGTACCAGAGCGGGACCCCCAAACCTTCAGCTGCTCAGAAAGGTACGCAGGGAGGAGACATGTCCACAGTCACCTTCTGTCTCTGGACGGGTTACTCTGAGCTAAACACCCGTCACTGCAAAATCCCACTGATTGCATTTGGAGTTCTATGAAATCCTGTAGACTGGCTCTGCTTTGTTTATTGCAGTGAAAGAAGCTGGGAGAGATTTCACCTACTTGATTGTAGTTCTCGTCGGTCTGGGCGTGACAGGTGAATAAAATGTGTCTTTATATTGTCTGGGAAGATATGATGATTAACTAGGTGGTATGATAAACAGGTTTTATTAAATTTCTTATTGCATTAATAAACATATGCATTGATCCATCAGTCACTATTCACCCATCTGTCTATTAATCTGTGATCTAGTTTATCAGCCATTCATGTTTTTAATCTCACATCTGTTATCCATCTGTCTTAATCTACATCACTCATTATAATTCATTCATATATCTATCCATTTTCAGGTTCCAACTGTCATTCATCCATCCATTCATCCAACCACTCATCCATCCAACCATCCATCCATTCATCCAACCACTCATTCATCCATCCATATATTCATCCATCCAGTCATCCAACCATTTATCCATCCATCCATTTGTCCAACCATTCATCCAACCATCTATCCATTCATCCATTTGACAGTTTCTCTTTTCCATATATACACTAATAAGTTCTTATTAACCATCCATTAATCCATTTGTAAGCTAATATCCATCTGTGGATTTTTTTTTTTTACGTGAATTTATTAATCCCTCCTACATCTGCTTGCCTTCTCCCCTTCGCTCCTTAGAATGATGTTATTTCCCCCTTTTTATGAATTATTATATTTCTGGAAATGTTCTCAATATAATGCACACTTAAACTCTGAAATCTGATTAAAACTGAACGAGAATGTGTGGAAATAACATTTTAAATGATGCATGAACTCATCTAAGCCATTTCAGTTTAAACAAAAGCATTGAACATGACTGGTCTGGATATTTCTGTTTTAGGTGGGCTGCTATATGTGGTGTTTCAGGAGCTGTTTTCCTCCTCAAGCCCAAACAAAGTCTACAGCAGAGCGTTTAACATAGTCCGATCCCAACCAGAGGTGAAAAAAATAAAAGTAGACAGCAAAAGACTTGTGGCATATCCTGATATAGCTGGAAATGATGACTGCTTTTGGGTCAGTTAAAATCCAAGTAACACACAAAAACATTCTTGATTCCTCTGAAATGCAGGTGATCGGCGCATTTGGAGAGCCAATTAAGTGCTACGGCGAGACGACCCGGAGAGGAAGGAGGCAGCAAGTCAGGTGGCCTTAAATACCAAACCTTATCTTCATATTTTAACAGTAAATCTATTTTATGCTGCTTTTAACAGAGGTCATTGTCTTTGTTGTAGTTTTACAGTGATTTTTCTGCTTGCCTCTGTTTCTAACTCAGTCACGTGGAGTACATGAAGGATGGACTAAAACATATGAGACTTAAGTTTTACATTGAAGGTTCAGAGCCGGGCCTGAAAGGAACTGTGC